AGATCATTGCTTGTATGTGACTAGAGGAAATGACTTTATAAAATTAATGACCAGTAGTTGTCAGAAGAACTTCCAGCATCCTGCTCTGGAGCATGCAACATGGATTTTAACAGGTAGCATCTGCTCAGTGCCCATCCTGACATGTTTTTCTTAGCTGAATTTTTTTCTGTTTCATCTTTTTTTTTCATAGTTTTAATTTTTTTTTTTTTTGACAATATATTTTTAAATACCTTGGTTTGACTTCAAGGATTTAATTGTGTTCTTAAGTTTTTCTTGTCAAGCTTTATTGTAGCTACAGAAGACAGATACTGGCAGATCTAGAAGAACCCAACCGTGTGTAGGCTTCAACAGCAAAGCCCTCTTTGAGAGCTGCAAAATTTAAACGAGGGCTGTAAACAAAGTATTTCCCTCTCTGAAGAAACCATAAGGTAAGGCAAAGCAAATAAGGGAGACCATAATGCAAATTCAAAGGATCTATGTAAGGTTAGTAGCTAGCCCAAAAAAGAAGGCAACAGAATAAAAAAGCCCAAACTATTATTCATATGCAAAGGGTAAGAAACTGACTCATTTCAGTTATAAAACAGAAAAACCTCAGGACACAAATGAGGGAAATAACTTGATAGATCAGATTAGTGTAGATTCTTGAAAACCGAGTAAAAATATCTGTAAAAGTTGAGTGACTTAATTTGGAATAAAGAACATTACCTAAAGTATATTGACTTTTCATGTTTGCTGTCTAGACACCTTGGAAGGCTCTTCATCTCTCAAAAGCAGATTTCTTTTTTTTTTTTTTAACACACTGCAGCCTAGGACATTAAATGCACAACCAAGGAAACTGATCTATTAAAAATAAAGAGAATCTGAAAACTACAGAAATGGGTCTACTTGATTACTGAAACATTAAACTAACCAAGAATGGTTAGTTTAATGCTAGCTGGAATTAGGAAGCCATTTTACATAACACGATTTCCCATGTTTTAACTGACTGAAGAGGTGCTTGCTGTAACATTATATTTTCTAGATACACTATGACTAAAAAAATCCACAACTAAAATTTTTAGGAATGGAAGAATCTATAAATTAAACTAGTGAGACATTGCAACAAAACTGAAATTAAATCACATTTATTATTTTTTTATGACTACAGATATTCAGAGCTAGCAATAGTACTGAATCTGAAGGAAGGGATTACGTCCTCCTTATCAGCACAGCACAAATGCTAGAGCAGATGGCCTCATCTTTCATTTTTATCTTCTAATGCATTCAGTTTATAACCCCGGTCAATTTTTAATTGTCAGGCCACTTGAAAATGTACCAAGTAATGGTGATCTGGCTGATGTCCTTAACTATAACTCTTTAATTATTAACTTCTTGAATCCTGTATTTTTCTTCTGTGCTATATAGGAAGCAGCAGTAGAGCCTAACACATACTTCCTATTAAACCAAACCAAAGGTAGGAAAGGACATGAAAACACAAGTATTAGGTTTCTGGGATCAAGCCAGCCTTTGAGCCTAAAGGCTTTCAGCCTGGTGACTCTTAGTGATACAAAATACTTGATTGATGCAACTATTATCAGTAAACCAACTTGCTATTTTTATTAGGGTTGCTCAAAATCGTTGTAAGTGGAGACCGAACTAGAGTAGTGCCTCCAATGCCCTGAACTCACTTGGAAAATTCTGCTATGGAAAACTAAAACAGAAGTTAGCAGATTTTTAATAGCATACATGTTACTTCATCAATGGTTTCATTGGCTACTCATTTATTCCCAACATGTGTGAGCTGGACTGAGAAACTGAATCAGCTCTAAAATGTAGAAAAAGAAAAGAGGAAAAAAAAAAAAAAGTTTATTCAGTAGGCAGAATGCAAACCCATTTCCTTATAGCTGCCCAAAGGATTTTAAAGTCACAGTGTGAAGGCTGGCTTAATCTGAGTTCATGCAGCAGGGACTGCAAAGTGCGGGTACTCTGAGTGTCCTGGGCAACACTGTAGCTGAACTCTATCAGAGCTTTGGCTTTAACTGCTCTATCCCCAATGTAGCTTCCAAGTTCAGACCTGGAGTGGGTCTGTGTGCTGCCCTCTTCACGGAAAGGAAACCTGAATGTGATTACACTAAAACAGTTTTCTTGTATTAGGGCACCACTCTTTTCAGAATTAATGGCTGAAGGGTTGATATAATCATTAAGTTTTAAAATCTTAGCTATTCTTAACAAGAACCCAGTGTCTTCAGCACAGCATCGAAATTAGCTTATTGCTGCCGTATCAATGAACTGACACTTCTTTCATGTTCAGTCAATCTAGTAGTACTTTTACTCCAGTCCTCAAAACACCTAGTAGAAAACTGAGATAAGTTATGAAAAAACAACTGCTGATGTCAGTAAGTGATATCAAATAATCTAGATTTTATTTTAGTTTTGTTGGTGCCACAAAATTGATGATTATTAATTTCAGATGATGATTATTTTGCATAAGTTTCCTGACTGATTCAGTGAAATACTGATGTAAGTTAGATTGCCTTCTCTACTCATTATAGCTGGCTATGGTGACTTTTCTGTACGCACAGTGGCAATAACCTTTACTTAATCTGTTAATTCCCTTTGGCACATTTAGTACTTGTTCAACAGATTAAGAATTCTTTTCATGAAATTGCCATTCTAGACCTTTTTAAAATCTATTATATCTAGTCTTCTGCAAGTCAGTTTTAGGGAGGTGGGGTTTTTTTGATTCACTTCGCCTAGGAGAAAAATAAATTCCTCCTTATCTTATGGAGAATATATGTTAAACAACAATGTTCTCTCATTTTTCCTTCTGTATGGAACAGAACATACAGTGAGTGTACACAGGTTTTCTCAGCTCTATCCAGACAGTAATATTTGGAGCACCCGGTCAAGTGGCATCTCACTGTCTACCTCCATTAGCAGCATCATTAACAACAGAGATACAGACAGGCATTCATTGTATTATACAAATGGGTAAGTACAAAGCAGGCTGGAATCAGTAGGTAAAGGGGTTGATGCTCCAGGTGTCCAGCAGTTTTCAGGCAATTGAGTCAGCAGAACTTCATTATCACTTTTCCAACATCTCTGAACTAGCAGTTCTGGTCTCATGGATGCTAGTCCTGTAGCTTGTCCTTAGGTCAAAATTCTTAAAACCAAAGAGCTTTCTTTATGCTAAAAAATACGACTTCCTGGAATTTCCCAGTACTACATGCAGTGAAGTTACACCTTGTTGTAGCCTGTGTAGAGGTGGCAGAGCACAGCTGCCTATAAGAGCATTCTTGTAGAAAAGCCAAAGGGTGGGGAAAACAGGGTATTTCCCTTCACTGTTCTGCTCACAGGCGTTAATTACCCATTCATGCACTATGTGAGAGTCTCTGAAGACACCCTAAACAGCTTTCATGTGGTTTTGAAGATGGGAGTTGGCAAGAATAGGCCCTATTTCAGGTTAAATTGCTTGCCTCCCTCAGTGTTTGCATGTTCAACAGTAAGCAGGTCATTATGTTAACCTCTGAGCTTTGGGACAAACCTTAGGAGAAACTACCTTTGAAAGAAACACATTACCATGACAGTAACAGTTCAAGAAACAAAAAAAATAAGTCTCCTCTGCCATTTGCTAGTGCCTGTAATGAATTCCACTGTTGCCTCAGGAGTCAGATGAGACACCTGGCAATAACTATGCGTGACAAATATGGACTGATATGGAGAGAAATAATCTTATCACTCACAGGATCCAGTTCTCTCATCATCCTGCTTCTGTGCCACATTGCAGCAGCTAAACTAAGAAGGGACCTAAACACAGACAAAACTAATCCAGACTTCCTCCTTTCCTTTCCACCAAATAAAACCCAAACAATTAAATAAAAATAATCTGCACCAACTAAACCTAAACAAGCATAGATATATGAATGAATGAATGATCAAATGTATGGAGGAAAGGTAAGACTCAGCTGCAGCTTCAGTTGTGTATGGCGACCTACAGTAAAAACATTTAGGTCTTCATCATTAGCATTTTTTGTTGGTTCTTTTAGGAGGGCTTTAATTGTAGGAAGAGGTGATACTTTTATAAAAAACCCTTATTTTTACATTCTTGCTCCTAAAAGAATCTGGAACGGATGCTGAACTTGACAGAAAGCAAAAACCAGCAGTTTCATCAGTTACATGTAGACACTACTACTTTTAAAGTTTTTGAGAAACTTGAGTAATTTTGGAGTCAAAAGCAAGACTTCTGGTACAGTAGGAAGTGTAAAATTACAAGTCTCATCAGGCACAAAACTGAAGTTTCCCTGAGAAGATGTCATTACAAAGTAGTGTATAAACTTTATATCACATTGTCAGAGGGGTTTAAGAGTACAAAAGCAAGATTTAAACACAAGTCCTTACTACTCCATGCTGAAGATAAAACTTTCAGGAGGACTAAGAATTACATAATGCAGAACTACAGCAATCAGATTTAAGTTAAATGATGACAGCTGGCTTTGGTATATCCCCTTTTGTGTAATTTTCAGATCATTTCTAGTGTAATTTTCCTGAGATCTTTCAGTACTCAGTCTGTGCAGTCCAGCTGCTTTTTTCCTTCTCCCACCTCCTCGCCTTGGTCTTTCCCTTCCAGACAGCATTACATTCATGGGAAAAAAAAAAAAAAGATGAATAACCATGAACAACATGCATTTTCCAAGCCTTAAAACAAATCGCTTAGCCAAAGGAAGTCCATTAATTACACCTTTTAGACGATAAATATTCTGAATATTCCAAAATATTCCAAAAACTGCCATCTTCGATTTTCTACGCAAAATTCCAAGCCTCGGTGTGCAGCACAATGCACCTTCACCTGAGACATGTCTTCGCTCCCCCTTGCCCAGGGACAAGGCAGGGAGGACACTGTCACCACACCGACTCAGCCGCGATACTTGTCACCGGTGTCAGTGCCCCTAGCGTCAGGTGTTGAAGTAGGTCTAGCTGGACGCTCCTGGTACCCCCGCCTCGCGACAGGAGCGGGCAGTGCTTCAGTTCTTTTGCAGGTACAAAGCTTTATGTCGCAAATACTCTTCCAAACATTTAACTGCAAAAGGGTCGACATCCGTGTCAAACTTGTTAGCGAAGAAGTGGTGGTTTCGCAGCACCCAGTTCAGGTCTCCGACCCCAAAAACACAGACAGAACGAACGTGAACTCCACTGCATGGTGGGTAGGGTGCACCTTTGGACACGTCGCCCTCAAAGTACTGCCACTTGACAAACCTGGCCAGTGCATTCATGTCAGAAACGTCATACTTGTCACTAGAAGGAACTGCACCTGGGACTTCAGAGATTCTTTGAATTGTTGCCCACAGGTACTCATCTGGGCTGTAAGTGTCTTTTGCCCACTCGATGAATTTAAGTATTTTGCTGCTTTCTAATATGTGTTCTACAAATCTCCTGCTAACTATAAAATAGGCACTACCAGAAAAAATTGGAGTACTGAGAGGTGGCAGTTGTTTGTCTATGCCTGTGTTCTTTATTTTACCATCAACAATCTCGTGGTGTTTTTTCCACCTTACTTCTTTATAAGCAGGCATTTTTTCTGTTTCTAGACTGTTTAAGCCTTTAAGGGCTTTTAATTTCTCTACCATTTCCTGGTTGGTCTTTATAGGAAAGTCCATGCCACAGAGGTTTATTAGGTATTTCCAGTGCGAACTTCGTCTGTAGAGATCTTTCATGCAGTTAATATCTGCCTGCACCCTGCTCCATGAAGCATACACAACACTCTCTAGCTGGCTGGAAATGAAGACATTATCAAAACATGAGACTATTCCCTTGACAGCAGCAAAAAACGATTCTGGAGATTTTTTGTCAACATGAATGCAGTAAAAATTCTGAGGGGCATAGATTGATCTTAGAAGTCTATCAAGCATCTCGATTTTGTGATAAACCACTATTGAGTAAGCAATTGGAAATTCTGCTTCTTCACTGCTGAGAGGTTCCATAACGTACCTCCTAGTCTTGGTGAAGGAGGCACAGTCTGCCGTCATGTTAATATAATCGTTTGTTGTTAGTCTGGGGCGTTTCTTAAACGACACTGACAACGTTTCAAGCTTTACCTTTTGAATTTCTTCCATATCCCCCTCTATAACCTTAGTGCAGTTAACATTGCCAAGAGGATCTTCTTGTGTCAGTTCTAGATGTTTCCGGTTTAAGTAGTCTTGTTTCTGGTTAACTTTCAAAACCGAAATGATTACTAAAATAAGAGTTAGACCCAAGAAAAGCCTGAAGCATGAGTTGTGGCAAAACCGTAATTTCCTCTTCAGCATTTCAAATATCAGGAAGCTTTGCAGGGCTAAAACACCTGCCCTCCCCTCTGCTCATATCAGCTTCAACAACTTCATAAAAAAAAGTTTGTGTTTCTCAGGAACTGGGCGACTTTTTCAGGGAGATGGAAGGAAAAATCCTAAAATAAAATGAAAACTTACTGTCATTTAAAGACTTATTTCTTTAAAAAATTACATTGACTACATCGTTAATAATTACATAGTCATTTTGTGATAGTAGAAAGTTGAATAGGTCAGCCAAATATATTCTGTTGAAAATTAGAAAGTAATGAATAAAACCAGGTTGGTTTTTTGTTTCCTAGAAAAAGACTGGGAGAGCCAGATAGTCTTCATGAGACACTATTTCCATAGTAGTAAGACTACAAACCAAAGTTCAGTAAGAAAATAGAGCTCATTCAGCTGCATCTGACTAAATTAAAGCAAATAAGTCAGACATAGTACCAAGAACCAAGTCTTTGATGCTAATTCACACTTTAATTGACAAGAACATTTTATATTCACTTCACCGTTGACACAGATTTCATTATGACTTACCACTCTCTTCCTGGATGCTAGTCATGCTTTACCTTCTCACTGGGAATATAATCCCTGAAGCCTTTCAATATTTTTATGTGAGATACAGTCTCTTCAACATCCTGCAGATGCACTTAGAAATACCATCAGGAAAGAGCTGATGAGAAGGGGAGAAATAAATTAGTATAGCATAGCTCCTCAACTTTCAGACTCATGAGAACAGCTGTGACCTAATTGCTGAAGTACGTTTTTAAGGTAAAAGGCTATATTTATGGCCCGTCTCTAAAGCTGATTTGTGTTAAGTCACCGCAGATGCACAACTCTAAGACCACAGCAGGGTTGTGTTACCATCGCTCAAATACACTTATTTTTATGATTCTGCAATTGCATTTATGTGGAAATATGCTGTAAGGCTGCAACAAGACTTATAATACACCAGTCTTATTTGCATCTCTATTTCACAGGCACTGCATCATCTTTGATTGTTAGTCCTGTTTCCACTTAAGCACCTTTTCTTTTTGTTTCAGTACTGTGTGAAGGGACCACTGCATGGTTAAGCAGCTGCCACAGCTGCAGCTGTTGAGAAAACTGCAATCTAGAACTGGATTACAGAATCGGGTGTTTTTTTCTCTAGGTACAACCTCAAGCAGATAGACTGATCGAGAACAGGAAATCCTTCAACAACTTATATTGCCACTTGAACGGCGTTTGTACCCACAAATTCATTGCCTAATAATTCAGTGCAGGCCTGAATTCCAAACCAACCTCTAATTGCAAAAGCAAATACAGTTCATAGAGAAAATCTTTCAAAATTTTAATCTACAACTTAAAAGGTTAATTAAATATTGAAGTACTTGAGAGATACACAGCTCTTTTCATGGTTACTACTTTCAAGAAAAATTTAGTGCATCTGAATAACTTTCTGAACAGCTCTAACAACAACTCCAACCCCCCAAAAAACAGTCAGAAAATACATTTGAGAAAAAGAAGCGTGTACTGTGTCCATTTCTGGGAACTGCCGTAGGCTGTTCAGCATAAGTTTTTTCTTTCCCCTCCCCCCTGCCCTTTTCTTCAAGCTACCTGTCGTGGTTAACCCCAGCCAGGAACTAAGCACCACACAGCTGCTCATTCGCTTCTCCCCACTGACAGTTGGGGTGGTGAGGAGAATCAAAAAAAAAAAAAAAAAGAAGAAAAACTCGTGGGTTGAGATAAGAAGGGTTTAATAAATAAAATAAAACAATAATAGTGAAAAGGAGTATAGCAACAACAACAAAAAAAGAGAGACAAATATACCCCAAGAAAAGGTAAGTGATGCACAATGCAGTTGATCACCACCCACTGACTAATGCCTGAGCAGCAGCTCGTCCCTCCCAGCCAACTCCCTCCAGTTTATACATTGGTATGGAATATTCTTTTGGCTAATTCAGGTCATCTGTCCTGGCCATGCTCCCTCCCAGCTTCTTGTGTACCTCATCACTAGCAAAGCATGGGAAAATTAAAAGTCTTGGCTTTGGATAAGTGCTACTTAGTAACCGCTAAATCATCAGTGTGTCATCAACATTATTGTCACACTAAATCCAAAACACAGCACTATGTCAGCTGCTAAGGAAAAACAATTTCAGACAAAAAGAGGACACTAGCCCACTATCATTTTAGCTTTTAATTCTCAAACTCTGCCTTTTAACCTGCTACTTGCAAATCTCAGAACAAGTGCATGTAAGAAACTAAGGCCTGGTATCACAGAGTTTTTTGGTAGTGATGCCACAACCGGGATGCACTACACATTGGGTCCACCACTACGCCCACAGCATTGCAAACTGACTGGGGGAGTTGATCCACATGTTGTAGTAGGTCAGGGGAAGGGGAGGATCCCTGCACCGGTGTCTAGCACTGCTGTAAGGATCAGCAGTATTTTAAGGAAGTACTATAACCAAATATTTTGTAATTCAAACCACCAGCAGGCAGAGACCACAAATTGTTTTTGACTAACAGCATTCTATAAACATCTTATTTACTATAAAGTGCACTTTGTTTTTGGTGTTACACTTGTAATTATTTTATCCTGCATTTCTAATTTATCTTTGGGAGGTGGACATTTGTTCCAAGTCTGTTTTAGATGCACACCAAAGTCAAACTGGAAGAACTAAAGTTTTAACCCTTAACTAAGTAGCCAGGTGAACTAGTGTGTAAGTACAACTGGAAGCAAAGAAAGGTACCTTTTAAGTACCAAGTCTCACATTTTGATTTTTAAATTAAAAAAAAAAAAAAAAAAAATTAAATGCAAAATTCCACAATTACCACTTTTAGTTTGCAATGTGACATCTGCTCATGGCAGAGGGTTGGAACTGCGTGATCCTTGTGGTCCCTTCCAACCCTGACAGATTGTGATCTGTTTTAGCAGAGGACTTTAGAGCCCTAATGGCTCAATGGTTGGACTTGATGATCTTGAAGGTCCCTTCCAACCTAAAGGATTCTATGATTCTATGATCAAACACCATGGTGTAATTAGAGAAAGTCTTAACATGCTTTATAACTTATCACATGTTTAACTGACATCCAACTTGTTTTGACTGCTAGGTCTCATCCACTAAAAATAACATTCATCACATGAAATTAACAAAGGAAGGACACTAGCTATGTTATAGTGTCCATAATCTCTACTGTGTATGTATTTCCATAGGATGAAGCTTGTGATACTGGTTACCCTTAAATTACTGTTTTCTGCCTACCAAATCAGAAAGTAAGACTTTTCTAAAACTTAAGACGTGCTTCAAATACATTTATACTGTAATGAAGCTGTAATCCGTCTTCCATTAGGATGAGAGTTGACACTACTATTTTATGCTATTCTCAGTTTTTGCAGGAGCCACTAGCATTGTGGAGTAACAGACACTGCAAGAGAACTGCCACGTCCTCCCTGCTCTTTACAACACAGAGAGACAGAGCCTTAATCGAAAGCTACCGTTGGGGTCTTCATTGTCTACAATTTCCAAAGAATAAATCATGGTAAGAAGTCTTTCCACCTCCTGTTTTAGAATAAAATTTAGTTGAATGTAGGATAAAGAACCTCCTTCAGAAAGACCCTGTATACTCAGCTGGGTGCAATTCCTCTATTGTTTTTGGCTCAGAATAATCGGACCCTGAACTTCCATTATACCAAAATGAGAGATCTGCAAACATTTACATGTTCACACAGCTCTTATCTTTAGGGAGGTTTTTTTCTCCCCCACAGTCAAATTTCTCCCACTGACACACTCCCTCCGCTGAATAGTCTTTCACAGTAAGTTACTTTTTGGTTATGCTTGCAATTCCTTTCCTAAAAAGTCCTAAAACTTGATCATATCCCATTCTTTGAGAAAGCTGACTTTTACAGGACAAGAAAAGATTTGGTAACTTTCATCTAATAATGTACCTGGGTTTTGGTTTATAAAGTTTTATAAACTCATCAACATAACAAGACTACGTTCAGTAAAGCTTTTAGCACCATTTTCTCAAGCTCTGCATAGCTTTTGTGCGCACACAGAGAATGCAGTGTGAAAGGCACCACGCTGCATTATGAGAGAGCAGGAGGTAGGTTTGCCCATCCACAAGTAGACGACTTTATGCTGCAGCCTTGGTCTTACTCTCAACTGAAGTTCTGTTGCTCAAGTTATGTATTGACCCTCTTTACTTCTTTAACTGCCTCTTCCTTAAGTCAGATCCTTTATTTCTGATGCAATAGCCATTAAAAGGGTAAACCTACAGCAGTTGCTGGTATTTGGAGGAGTTAGTACAAAGGCTGAGTTACCTGCTCCCTTCCCTCTTTCTCGCCAAAATTATCCTTCACTCCTGTATACAAACTGTACGGCATGACTAAACACAAAACTAAGATAACTTCAATTTTATGTCTACTAGTGTTTTCCATTTAAATAGACTTTATAGAAAGAAGGATTACTATACCTAGTTTAAATCTCCATTTCTGGCACCATTTCTCTGTCACAGGGCAAATCATTTGGATCATCTGCCTCTTGGTTTACTCATCTGTAAAACAAGTACTCATTACCTGGCAGTATTAGACTACATGGGTACTTATGCCAAAGGAGCTGAAAAGGAACAACCTTCATCAAAGAAAGGCTATGGCCAGGGACAGAACGGAGCAGCACCCTCCAAGCCCAGCTCAACATGTAACTTTAGATAAATTTGGCTTCACCCACCCTTAAAAACAAACAGAAAATCCCACAAGAAGTCTAAGTCTTCAGAGGAGAAAAAACAAACAAAGAAACAAACAAACCAAACAAACCCCAACACTTTTACAAAATTATGCCACAGGTCAGAGGGAGACCAAAGTTCATGTGGAGTGTTTATACTGACAGGCTGGACAAGAGCTGCAGCATGTAATAGCATTGCTGTCTGCAAGGACCCTTATACCCACACCACAGGGCTGGCCCTCAGGAATAAGATAGGGTGCAGAGGAGGCAGAGCACTCCTAC